CAATAACCAAGTGAAAGGTGAGTTACATTTTAAGTAACATCAACCAACCTATGCCACGTGCTAACATGGTTGAGGAAAACATGCGATGAAAAAACTGGTGTAAGCTAAAGGAGTCTTATCGAAAAGGTTAGGTATAAAAAGGAAACTTAAACACTTACATAACAGTCCCGCTTGTAAGAGCTTGACCAAACAACTTCCAAGATAAACTGAACAAACTGTACTAACGACGAACACGACTTACCGTTTGCCCAAACAAAGCCAACTAACAAAAATGCGGTTTGAGCGGAACTTAAGTAATCGCGTCCCTAATGGACAAGGAATAACGTCATCTTGAGGTTTAACGTAATACAATACAAATTAAATCAATAACGAATCAATATTCGGGAATAACGCCTGGTAGCCGTTACAACACTGTTAACATTAAAAAAGTCAAAGGGGGTAGGGTGTGGCACTCGTGCATTCTATAACAATCATAAATTATGTAACAAACATGCAAAACATGTGTTGTGTCCTTAAAAAATGAAAGACCCTTGTGCCCTTAACCTGAAAGATCCAGGTACCCAGGATAATTGTGTTTGAACAAACTAAGACTTCCTTGTCACCCAAGAGCAACAGTAATGCAACAGGGGGCCACCAGGCACTGCCAAAGCACAGCTCTGTTACAGGACAGGCTAAATAAATGGATGACTTAAACTACACATTAGAAATATTGCACTGCAAGCATTAACAAAATAATGTACATGTATTTTACCTACCTTTTTAGCTCTCAAAGTTAATTGGCATCTTGTCCAAAGAAACTCTGTGTTCTTCAGGTTTTCCATTTTGCCACCTTACCACGTCTGGCGGCTACTTCTCTGACTCCAGTACTTAAAAATGGCCCCTAGCAAAAGGAAAGCATGTTAAATGTGCAGGTCTCTGGGAAATGAATTAAGAGTGCTTCTTGGTGTTGCTTAAAGTATTGTTGGTTTGCTCCTGCTTTTGATGTGGGTATTATTTAGTGGCTTTTCAATCTTTTGTATTTATGTCATTAGGGGATTGCACTTGTCGGCAACACCAAGAAACTACAGTGGAACCCCGTTAATACGGTCATCAATGGGCCAAAAAAGTTTTGCCAAATTAATGGGGTGGCGGTATTAATGAGGGGTTTTCTTACAAGAAAATGTATGGTGGTTTTTGCCAGGCGGCCAAAAAAGTGGCTGTGATAACAAGGTGACTGTATTACTGAGGTAGCCGTAATGCGGGGTTTCACTGTACCAAATTCAAGAAACTTAGAAAAGTGTACAACTTACCTTTTTTCTCTGTTTTGGGCCATTTCTTTTACCCAAAATTTCCCCTCACTTCATTAACCAAAATACCCTCAATGTTTTTGTTCTCCGCATCATTATACCTCAAAGAAATAAAGACCAAAAGAAAATGTCAAATATTTATATCAAAATACTAATACATGTATTACATGTATTACATGTATATGTATATATTGTGACAGCCTGGTTCTAAAAAAACTAGAGAGCTTAAAATGAGGCAGTTTTCTAGTAGTGCATTACAAAGACAAATATTTAAAAAATGAAGGTTGCTTTTATCATCGAATAAAGCCCTTATCCAAGTGCTTGACGCACAATACAAAATTAAAGTGTAATAATATAAAAACACTATATAATCGTCTAGTTGATCTCCTTGTGGCATTTTCAAAAATTGAAAGTATCATTGACACAAGCACCATTTTTGTCCACTCAAAGAAGGATAAATAGAATTGCAACTTCCCACTCAAAGATGGGCATCTTACTTAAGTCAATGGAGGTTGCTTTGTCATCGAATAAAGCTATTACATATATCCTTGAGTTCGAAGCTTAATGACAAATTGAAGTGTAAGGAAATTATATTCCTGAATAATATTCTTGTTTATCTCCTAGTGACTGTTGCAACACTTGAAATATCATTGACACAAGCACTACTTTGTCCACTCAAAGATGGATAAATAGAATTGCGACTTCCCACTCAAAGGTGGGCGTCTTACTTGTGTCAATGAAGCCGTTACATATTTCCTTGTGTTCAAAGCTTAACGACAAATTGAAGTGTAAGGAAATTATATTCCTGAATAATATTCTTGTTTATCTCCTGGTGACTGTCGCAACATTTGAAATATCATTGACACAAGCACTATTTTGTCCACTCAAAGATGGATAAATAGAATTGCAACTTCCCACTCAAAGATGGGCGTCTTCTTTGTGTCAATGAAGATTGCTTTGTCATTGAATAAAGCTGTTATCGTTGTGTTCGAAGCGTAACAACAAATTGAAGTGTAAGGAAATTATATTCCTGAATAATATTCTTGTTTATCTCCTATTGACTGTTGCAACAATTGAAATATCATTGACACAAGTACTACTTTGTCCACTCAAAGATGGATGAATAAAATTGCAACTTCCCACTCAAAGATGGGCGTCTTGCTTGTGTCAATGAAGGTTGCTTTGTTATCGAATAAAGCTGTTACATATATCCTTGTGTTCAAAGCTTGACGACAAATTGAAGTGTAAGGAAATTATATTCCTGAATAATATTCTTGTTTATCTCCTAGTGACTGTTGCAACATTTGAAATATCATTGACACAAGCACTACTTTGTCCACTCAAAGATGGATAAATAGAATTGCTACTTCCCACTCAAAGACGGGCGTCTTACTCGTGTCAATGAAGGTTGCTTTGTCATCAAATAAAGCTGTTATTCTTGTGTTCAAAGGTTAATGACAAATTGGAGTGTAAGGAAATGATATCCGTCTATAATCTTGTAACCTGAGATCAGGCGTCTTTTTTTTTTTTTTTTTTTTTTTTTTTTTCTTTGGCTCGAGACGGAAAAAAAAATAACGCCTGATACATTTATTTAACAAGCAGTCAACCGCCCCCTAATTTACATAATCTAACGTTTGCTTGACCTGTCATGTTTTTAGCCAATAAGCGTTTACCAAACGGGCATCAAATTTTGGCGCGAATAATGTCTCTTTTGAAATCAGTTTTAGGGGAAAAAAAATTTTTAAATACGTCCGTGTTCAGATGGCGCTTCGTAAAAAAAAAAATTAATGTGTTGTTTTTGTGATGAAATACTGCTAGCTGGAGCTGTCGTACCTTTGTGAATAGCTACAAATAATAAAGAATTTACTGGTTAAAGCTCGTTGACTTCGTTCTGTACTACGAAAGCAGTGGAAAAAAATTAGGCTGAAGCACCATATTTCACGAACTGAAAGGTGTTGTAAAAGCGAAGATCGCTCAGAATAATTCGCAGCATGATTTCTGAAGGAGGAAATACAGTCAAACCAGGTCAAGATTCCATTCATGAATTGATTATTTGAAAAGTGAACCCCGTTTGTCGCTTCTGTAACTTCTAGCCGGTATCAAATTGCATTCAAATGATCGGTGAAGTTTTGACTGCAACTGTTTTGGTATACGATGAGATGGTAAATATTTCAATGGATGAAACTTCTATTTAGGCATTCTTCAAATTCAAGAAAACTGAGCGGGCAGAAATTTCATAACAAACTCGCGTGTGTATTCACTGCTTATTACGCAAGCAAAAATGCAGACTGAAATAAACAACAACTAACGGATGGCGTCATTTTGGCCAATCGGAACAGCGCAAATCATCCGCATTGTTTCCTATCCAATCAGAAAAAAGTCCAGATTCTGGCATTTTTACATGTGATCCGACAAAGAAATGTATCATGCCCTCTTCCCGTGAGAGACATAAAGGGATAATAGGGAGAGGGCATGATCTCAGGCTAATAATCTTGTGACTTTTAGAACCTTTCTGCACCTCATATTAAACTTGTCATTGTGCACGTACACAAAGAGAAAAGGTCCCTTTTAACCCTACAAGTCTCGTAACAAGTACTAAATTTATTTCAATTTTGAACAATTCCCATTGGTCCCCGCAAATTGTATATGTCGTTTTGAATCTAGTAAGGAAATGCACATTGTATGCAAAAAATTTACATGAACATTAAATATTATTTTCGTACAGGTTTATCCTTGTGATAAACATCTACAGTCTCAGAAATTGGAGTGGAAATGTTTTGTACATTTCGGTGTCAAGGAATTTTTATAAAATATTCTGTCATTGATATTTGATTCCGTACTCCGTTCCGGGATTCCGTTTCCTCATTCGAGATTCAATATTTTACGGCTGCCATCTTCGTCATTAAAATGTGCATTAGTATACAGAAAAATTCTTTTTCGGTGAAGCAGCAACTATGTCTTTATTGCAAAAGAAATCAGACAAACACGTGCTTTACAGGTAGATGTTATCAAAGAAACTACAGGCAACATACAAAGGTCAGATCTGTAGGGAGCAACTCGCTGTCGCATGAAACATGTAAGCTTATGTAAGCACACATGTGAAACGATTTTTATGATCGGCACCCAAAGCTATTACATAGACTTAAATATGCTTCTATATATTTAAACAAGATTCAGAATGTACTTACGAAACAACAAGGATCCAACCTGCATGTTTACAGACAAAGAAGATTCCGGGCGAGGGATCAATACTGTAACTGACAGGGAAATTCAGTAGAGGAATGAAGCAAGATTACCACAAAACACAAAGAGGTCAACTACATGTCTTACTTTACTTTGTAACTTCGTAACTTCATTTGATTTACCACAAAATACAAATAACGATAAAACAAGACAGTTACACAAAAGCAAATGAAAGTGGCGAGGAAGCCCAAAAAGAAACCATGAGGCTTATAGAAATTGGGCTCCCTCAGAGTAAAAATAAAGTTAACAGTAACAGTAAGGCCAGGATCGAAAGTAAAATACAATGAAGGTAGGTATAAATTAACTAATTACATAGACTGAGTTGACAAAGTATAAGGTATGGTACATGTAACAATAAGTATAAAAAAAATGTCAGACATGTGAAGAAATATAACTGTTTACTACAAGATTTATAACTAATAATTCATATGTAAGTTTTTTTTCAATTTCGTTTTGAATAAGTGGAGAGAATTAGCCTTCTTTAATATCATTTTCTATAGAGTTATAATAAGTAGGCCCTTGGAAACTGACAGAAAATTTACGAAGGTTTGTTCTGCAAGAAGGAAGGTGAAAATCGTTCGCGTGTCTAGTGGCAGAGCTATGGACTTGTTTGTTTAAAGAAAAATAATTGTTGAACTTTGAAGGCAAAAGAGAATGGTCAAGAGAAAACATAAGTTTACCCAATTCTAGCTGTCCAATGTCGGAAAGTTTTGGTAGCTCTAATTCTTTGAAAATAGGGTCTGAAGGAGAATCGAAAGTTGATTTAGAAATAATTCTGATAACTCGCTTTTGCAAAGAGACAAGACGGCGAAGATTGGCTTTTTACGTAGATCCCCAGACAATAATACACTAATGAAGATAAGGATAAACTAAACAATAATAAAGAGTTTTTAGACAGGGTTTAGGTAGAAAAAATCTTGCTCTATTAATGACACCTATTGATTTCGAGATTTTACGAGCTACTTGAGAAATGTGCGGTTTCCAAGACAGATGTTCATCAAGGACTACACCGAGGAAGACCGTTTCCTTAACCTGTTCGATTCTCAATGTCTTCATACACGAGTTTGGGATGACTGGTTAAAGAACGGAACACCTTACCATGTCAGCGACACTTTCGTGGAACCGTAGAAGTTTAAAGACGCTGCTCAATTTCGAACTGTCGTTCTGGCTGTGGAAATCGATGAACCAACATCTAAGAAATTCGTGAATGTGGCGCAAAAGAAACGCAGCTCAGTTTATTTTTAGTAATTATAGCGTCGTGTTTAATATTCCCAATACGTCGTGTTTAATATTTCCAATAAACATTTGTGAATTTTTTCTTTATGAAAAGCTAATTGAAATTCGAGGGGATTATGTATTAATATGCAAGTTAATAAGTCACTTATCCCCCTTTCATATTAATACATAATCCCTCGCATTTTAATTAGCTGTTCATTAGCCCGGTCTTCCCTTCAAACAATCAAAGCCGCACCCAGCTTTTCAGACAGTTGATTCGGGGGTTATGTAATATATTCTCCCCGAAAAGAACAAAGGAATCCGAGCTTATGTAAAAATAAGGACGTCTGCGTGGGACCAGGCCGAGTGCAGCTGGAGCGGGTTATTTTCGTCAGTTATTCTCATTCGCGTAAAAGCCGCCGCATGACAATTTAATCGCGTCTATGGAGCAAATCTCAACGCACATCGGCTGGAAATCTACTCAGACCGCTAAGTAATAAAATAAAGCAGACAAGTTCCTTAGCTCCCCGAAGTGGCTGACATGCTTGCCCAAAGCACCTCAGCCGTGGACAGGGACACGGCTCCCAAGGTCACAATCATTGCGGAAACCTTCCCTTTCTATGACAAGATTTGGCTACACTAAAACTTAATAAAGTTTTCTGGCAATCATTCTCCGTCTTTTGGATTAGTCTATAGCACCCCTTGTCTCGGGGAAAATTGTTTCACCCATAACTTATCCATCAAGAGGCACAGGGTGGCTTTTAATGCGAATGGGAATTAGTTACGATTCATTATCAATCATTATTTAATAGTATCAAAGAACTCAGTTTCGAATTACCAAAATTGATACTTGGCTCCCAGCAAGCAAACAAAAGTAACGAATTCATGTTCGCATAAAAGGCACCCTATGCCTCTTGATGGATAAGTTACGGGTGAAAAATTTTGCGAAAGGCGCAGGGTGAGCTTACACAGGAAATTTGCCAGCGTCGCCGTAGGGGAGGAGGGTGGGGAAACTTGTTTGCTCCTTGTGGAGTAGAATGCGAGAAGAGAGCGAATTCGTTTGCAAGGGTTTATAAAAGGCCTAGAGAATTTCCCTGGGGACCAAGATAGGGCCAATAGAGTGTTTTCACTAACGTTGCCAGCCTCTATGCAAATTTATTGGGACAAAAGAAAGCGTTTGCATAAGAAAAGAGTTCAACTCCCAAAGGATTGGTTTGGGACACCAATATGGCCACCGTTTCATTGTTTTGGGACACCAATATGGCCGCTGTGGCGTCATGTGAAAAGTGGCTTACGAGGGAGCACGCAGTCATCTAGTTGATTAAATCGTCATGCGGCGGCTTTTACGCGAATGAGAAAAGAAATCGAATCGGGATTCAATGATTAATAATTCATTTCCAATGTCTTATTCCCCTCAGGCTCCACCTGCAAGCCAAGAATGAATTTTGATAATTCAAACAAAGCTGATCTTATAACCCAATATTATAACCCACGTTCAATATATTAAAATTCTAACATGAATCCGAGGCTTTCTGGTCAACACTTTTCTATATGCTGTTTGCTTTTGTTTAGACTGCGAGCAGTCTCTCTTTGTCTTCAGATTTAGTAAGGGGAATGCACGCGCCCGAGAATGTTGAGCGGTGACGCGTGTGGTCATTTGCGTGTCTCGGACGTTTTGCTCGACGGACCAAGAAAAGAGAGAGACTGCTCGTAGTCTAGCTTTTGTTTGTGCTCAAGTCTCTTCTGGGAATTGCGAGGCAATGGAGTCCTGAAAAATTTGCAGTTTTGGCCGTAATGCTTCGGAGTCATGTTAGAATTTTGATTTATCGAACGTGGGCTACTGTGAAAAGAAAAACTTATTTTCAATTGAGTTTAAAAAAGTAAGTATCTTAAAATAATAAATAAAACTAAACTAAAAGCTTTTTAGACTCTGAAAACAATTGGAAAGTTGTAAGTTTTTTTCAGTCATTAAATTGACCAGAATACACCCCCAGTTTTAGCTTGTCGGTTGTTTTTTCGTATATTTAAATAAAAACGTTCTCTAGGAAATACCAAAAAAGCAAAACAGTTCTTCAACAGCAAAACAAAACATAGAAGCTCAAAAGGTCTACCCGTGCAAACGGTTGACGCAACGTTGTTAGCCAACAACTCCCAACATTGTTGGATGTTACATGTTGCGTCTATTTGCACCGCACCTTGTTGCATTTTGTGGCATGTTGTTGCTTGATGTTTGGAGTTGTTGCGAAAAGTTTGTCGAGGTGCAAACGGACACAACATGCCTCCCAACATTGTTGGCCCAACAATGTTGAGAGTTGTTGCATCTGATTTGGCTACAAAACAAAAGCTTTGATTAGGCTATCCCAACTCTTAAAGGCTGTTTTTTTTTTCAAATGAAAGCTCGCGGAAGTTGTTACAGCAGGTAAAGCCGATCTCTTTATAACCTGAATTTGCCGAGGAGCAGACATACGAAGACAGGAACTTAACGTTGATGAGGAAAATTAGTCTGGGTTCTCCGAGGATGGGTCGTCGCGTAACGCTCCTCCCCACTAACGACCGCTAGTGGGGAGGAGCGCTATGTGGTTACCCTAATAGAGACTAGTCTTGGAGGGTGTGTTATCTGCCTCGGTCCTGACGGCCTTGGTGGCATTAAACCCTCTCCCCGAGGTGCATAATTCTTCAGATTTCGGACACCTTGCTAATAATGAGGACAGCTGCTAACTTCATGGCGAAAATTACAGACATTTGACTGAGACAAACTCCAGCTCATACGGATTTATGGACACATCTCTCGGACCCGACGGCATAATTTTATCAGTCAGCATCTTTCGACTTTTTGGCAGAATTGTATCAAATTATCATTTATTTCTTCCTCTTTTTCTCTTCGTCTTTGTCAGTTTAGTTAACATTCCGATTCGCGTTTATCATAATCCTTCTAAGAAACTACCGTACTAGCAAAAAAACAATCATGATGTACGTAATGTACATAAACTGGATTTTCTTATACCGAACTGTAGTGGTTTTTGTGTTCTAAAAATTGTTCAGTGACTGTTATGGTGAACGAAAGGGAGATACAAGTTCTATTCTGTTACCAATAGAATGCTGACGAAATTTTTGATGAATTCTTACTCGGATTACTCGTGTGTACTTTTGGAAAACCTCCTCGACCATCATTTATTTTATTATGTTTTTTTAAACTATTATGGTAACAAAATAAGCTTGACCAATTTTCAAGTAGGTTTTTCGAACCGAGTGAATTAGTGAACGCTATTAGATTAAGAACCTGTTCCAGCTCGCTTCATTAGTTCCAGAAATTTCTCGTCGACTGTGTATACCTTCGAATCTCAAACTTTAATCGGCGGACATGTTATACCAAATTCCCTGGCAAGCGTATCGGCAGTTTCTAAACTGCTCCATTCTAGCTTACGGCCTTGTTTTATCTCAAGTCCGACTTGGTTATAATGTCGCTCTAGAACTTGCAAACAGGTATTGGTAAGGTCACCTTTACATGGGTGCTTATCAACACCTCCCTGAAGATCGTGGACAAAAAAGAGTAAATTATCGCTTGGCGACACGGAATGATTAGAACATACACAGCAAAATCGAGGTGTTATGGTAACACCAAAAAAGTGTAAATTTTTGCAGCTGTGTGAACACCAAATACGTGTTCAGTTAACACTACTGTCGTGTATATTTACACCAAAATGGTGTAAATATGACCTACATACGATCCTGAATGCGTTTAAAAACACCTTTGCAGTGTTACAGCAACACTGACCTGGCGTATATTTTCTCTATATTGGTGTTTAGTAACACCAAAATTGGGTTAACGTAAACCAATTTTGGTGTTAAAATACACCAAAAATATGTCTCCTTTACACTGTTCTGGTGTTTTTGTTACACTAAAAAAGAGTAATGATGACACTGAATATGTGTAAAACCCATTGCAGCTGTGTGCACACCAAAGTCAGGTAAATTTACACTACTGGGAATTTTACACTGTATTAGTGTAGATCAACACTTCCAATTGTGTTATAACACACCGTTTGAGTGCTGAGCCAACACTATTTGTAACTCATGAAGAAGTCTTAAAAGTAGACAAAGTAACAGCTACGACAACAACCTGTAAATTTACTCCCATTTAATTGCTTTACCCTGATAGTAATAAAAACTTTGTTCTCTTCAGAATTCAGTAAAACAGCACGAATTAAAACAAGTGTTAAAAACTAAGAGGGCTGTACACCGTAGGTCTTTCTTTTCTAAGACTTTTTAGTTTTGCGGAGGATGAGAGCACACTGCATGAGAGAACGATTTTCTCATGTAACCTTTTATTAAAAATTCAAATATTAATATAGTCCTATACAGAACTATAGAAGCCGGAGAGATAAAATTTGAAACAACGTGGATCTTCTTTTTAAGAAACGTTTTTGCCACCGTCGTTGTCGTCGTTCGGCTTATCTATTGATGTGAAAGGCAGATTACACAACAAGTCGTGTAGATTTAATTTTAGTTTGCTTTAATTACGAGCTTGGAACTGATTCAGTTCATTCATGAGCTGTAATACCTTAGTCGGTATATTAACATTGTCCATTCAAAACGTCTCTCTGGGACAAATGAATACGAGTGTCTGCATTCTTCCGGATATTCTATATTACACACAACATATATTAGAGTGAGCAAGGCGCTGGTATGTCCTCGATTAACCTTTAGAGGGAGATTCCTTTCCCCACTCAGGTATATATCATCTGGGGCTTGCAGTTGCCCCTCAAAGATGATGAAGTGCGTCATTCCCTCCTTGCCGTTCTCGGCAACTTTATTAGCATCAACACCATTCTATAAAGAGGAAAAAAGATGCAAAAGAACACTTTCAATAAATGTGTTTTCTCAACTGCAGCATAATAAAAGTCAATAAATATTGAAATGGAAAGTTTTGTATGTTCATCCAATTCTTCAGATGGCCCGAACCTATTTATATGCACGCTGGGTATGTTTTTGAATCGCGTTTTTCATTTTTGGCATCCTTAATAAAGAATAGTGCAAATTTAAGAAAATGTTGTCTATTTTTGTGTAGGTTTAACACTGTTTGAGATATCAGCTTATGTTTAAAACCGAATTTTTACAAAAACTGTCAAAAACATCATAGAAATCGGTTGAATGGTTCCTGCCGAAAAACGAATTAGGATTGTAGTACAAGCATGAAAGATTTAGCCTGATTAAATGAGGAAATAATGTTTGCCTCATGCTCAACTTAATTCTGTTTGTGAGACTCCTTCACTGAATTGTTTCCCTGCAACAGGCATTTCTCGATAAAAGGCAAGTCCAGTGTAACTTTTCCAAACTTTCCTTCCCAAAGGGTTATTAAGTTTTTGGAATCACTGTCCATATTCACATGTACTTTCTGTTCCCGTGGAATCTCTAGGAATGAGTTTGTTACTGCCACAGCACTATCTGAAGAATTGATTGACTTTGTTTTATTTTTCATCTGCAAATGAAGCAATCTTTCTTTTTCACGTTCTGTTTGACGCCACAGTTGGTGAAACTTCTCTTGATTTTTTTTTTTGACAGAAGACAGTTTTTCTTCGGTTGTCTGTCTTTTCTTTTTTTTCTAAAACTAGCTCTTCATGAGCGTTTTTCTTTTTTTGTTTTATTTCAAGCCTTCTTCGTTTATTTCGAGCTCGTCTCTGACGCCTTTTTGCCTCATCAGATCTTTTCCAACTAAAAAAAAAAAATGCCGCGAATAATAAAAATTTGTTCAAAGGGGCTGGAAGCATTACTGTGAGTGTATTTCCTTTTTCTTAGTCTTTCTTCCGTCCTTTCTTTCTTTTTTGTTTTTCTATCCTTCTTAAGTTTTTCTGATAATTTTAGATAACTATAATTATTACCAGCTATCAATTCATCATGTTCCAAGTAATGAGCGGGCTCGCCTCTCAACTTTGGAGCTAGTTAAAAGCGGAAAATCCAACTTTACATAGCTATGGAAACCCACAACATGATGAATTGAAAGATAAAGGTAAGTTGTTTGGGAATATATATAATTGAGAACCTTACAGACATATTTTAATAATACTTTTTGCAGCCTCGATTATTGTATTACTGAACAGAACCTTACAGTTTTTGGTCTCAGGCACTTTTATCGAAAAAGACAGTATTGAAGTATCATGGTTAAAATGAATAGGATGGCTGAAAATAATATTTTTCATTACACGTATCTCCTGTGAATGATTGAAAATGTTTATACGTTCTTTTACATTGTATATGGACAGCACACATTGGCAAATTGTGGAGGTGTAACATGAAATAGGTAATGATGTGTTTAGAATTTGCTTACTAATCCAAAACCTCGTTCCCAGGATTCTCTCCTAACCGCTCCGTATAGGTTGACTAATGCATTGTAACTGAGTCTTCTTTCTTCCACTGAACCTAATTTCCCACCCACCCTACCTAAGAAATATGTCAGTATTAACTTGTCTATGTTGCAAGCTTCTCATTGCTAGTAAATTCCCTATATATAATATTGTCTCTTTTGTTATAGTTTGGATTTTCCATAATTGACCGGATTGCAGGAAAAAAAGCTTACAATATAGGACCACATGCACAAAATTTGCAAATCCCTCCCCTTCTACTCCCCTTGCCGTTTTCAGATAAAATGAAATGATGTTTGTGACAGTCACTGGCCCTTTGGAAGTGTAAATAGGTTCTCACCTCTTTTTATCAACTGTTGGGGTGCTAGATGCCTCGCCAACTGTTTCAGCATTAACGGCTTCTTGTACACGTCGCGCTTCGGTAGACACTTCGTGAATTATCCGAACTTCAGTGCTTTTATCAAGTCAAGTTTTCGTATACCTTGTGAAGAAGATTAGCGAGAACGCCAGCAGGGGGCACGAGGGTCTTCAGGGTCTCCTCATTCATGCACAACCGAACCTGTTCAGCTTTGGAAGTTAAAAAGTAAAGAGTTAAGAAAGGAAAATTAAAGTTTTTAAAGCTAAACTTTCAGGCCTTAATTAATATAATGC